ATTGGAGACTTTCTTTTGCTATATTTTCTTTGAGCAGTTTGCTTTGCAGAGCAAAATGACCTCTGCTAAAGAATAAGGGTAATAAGACTGTATTGGCAAACCTCCAGCTCCAAGATAAGTAAGCTTGGGGATGTAATGTACAATCTGATGACTGTAGTTAACAAGCTGTATGCATTGTATCCTTGAAAGTTGCTAAGAGAGTAAATCTTAAATGTTCTCACCACACACACACAAAAGGTAAGATGTGAGGTGATGGAAGTGGTAACTAACCTTATGATTATCATTTTGCAATATCAGCGCATACCAAATCATCACGTTGTACACATCAGACTTCCACAATTTCATGTCAGTTACATCTCGTAAAGCTAGGGGGTTGGGAAATAAGACTGTATCAGGACTTGTGACTAGTTCTTAGAACAGTGGCTGCTGATCTTATGAAGGGGCAGCAGTGGCCATACCAGGCCAGGCTGGTGTGGCAAAGGGCATCTCTAGCCATGCAGATCTCTTCTCTGATCCTGGGACTCTGTCACCAGAGACAGCAAATGACAATTTCCACAATTTTATGCCCCTTGGCTGTCATCCCAGTAGCAAACAAGTCGTAAGCCATTCTCTTCCCCTTTGTAAAATTCCACTTCTACATCCTGGCCTTTCCACCAAGATTTTTTGAAACAGTGAAAACAGAGAATAGAATTGCATCTCCTTTATGTAACTTCAGCATGTTTCTTCTGCCACCTCTGACCTCTTCACTGCACAGCCTGCCCCCTTCCCCCAGCAATTCCTTGGCCTTAGTTCTCCTGCCTTGAAATACCAAGGATGAAGAAGTTAGGGGCAAGCTTCATATCAGAGAATAAAGGAAATGCTTACTGCTTTGCCTTTTCAGGGATAAAGTAACCAAAAGCCAAGGGATTGATCATTTATATATTGTATAAAATATCTGGAACAGTTGTTCATCACTCAGTCATGTCTGACTCTTTGTGACCCCATGGACTGCAGCATGCCAGGTTTCCCTGTCCTTCACCATCTCCCAGAGCTTGCTCAAACTCATGTCCATTGAGTCAGTGATGCCATCCAACATCTCAGCCTCTGTCATCCCCTCCTCCTCTTGCCTTCAATCTTTCCCAGCATCAGGATCTTTTCCAATGAGTTGTCTCTTTGCATCAGATGGCCAAAGTATTGGAGCTTCGGCTTCAACATGAATCCTTCCAATGAATATTCAGGGTTGATTTCCTTTAGGATTGACTGGTTTGATCTAGAATAGTATGGTTATTTAATACTGATGTATATAGAATAGACATTTTCTGTGCTGTTGTAGAACTGAGGGGGAATTGACTTGAACAAAAAGTACAGCAGGAAGAAACAGGCTAAGTTTTTTATTCTGAATGAGCAAGCCAGAATAGTCTTGTTAGGCAGAAGGCTGTCTACAGAAGTGTAGTCATGTCACACAAGTAAATATTGGAGTTCAGGAACCAAAGACGACAGGAAGCCTCTGTCAGATCTATGTGGTCAGGGTCAAGGTAGGGTTCAGATCAGGTGTTGGGTGTTGGGCTGAGGTTGACCCTGGGAAGTCAGAGCACATCGAAGATGAAGTATAGATAGAACACAGTTGCTGACACCAGAACAGGAGCTACCTAGGCTCTGCCCTGGTTTGGGTGGAAAAGTATAAGCAGGTTTTTCTTTATTCTCCGGAGAGAGGCCAGGTTCCATAGGTACTTGTGACTGGTGATTACTCTATTGCTAGAGAACTAAGCTCTCCTGGAGGCCTGGTCAGATAGAGTGCTTCATTCCATCAACTGAATGCCTTCTATATATAACAATCGTGGCTTAATGCTGGGGGAAAAAAAGAAGTATGGGGTGGGAACTGTACCACGTGCCCTCTGAATGTAGCCTGGTTATGGAAACATGACTTAAACATGGAAAAAGTTACATAGCACAAAAGCTAAGTCATTCAACTCAAGACAAGATATTCTGCAAGGTAGAAATGAATTTGTGAGCAAATGGGCAGTGCACGTGGTAAGTGGCTTAGAAACGGAGAATTGGGAATATCACTGTGGTTTGGTGGTGTCCGGGGAGAAGAGGCATCTGAATTGTTTGATCTTTGGATAACTTGAGAGAAGTGGTGAAGGCATGTCAGATGGGGGTAGGAGGCGCTGCATAAGAGCATGGTGGTAGGAAACAAAAGAGACAGTCTAGAAACAGTGAGTAGAACAGCTTAATTAAAACTGAGGGTTCAGGAAGGTTAATAGTTGGAGGTAAAGCCAGCAAAGCAGTTCAAATCAGAATGTGAAGGTGTTAAGAGTCCTCAAATTTATCTTCTAGGCACTAAGGAATCATTGAAAGTTTTCGGACAGAGGAGTGACATGCTTAGAAATGTTCTGGGAAGATAATCTGGTGGCTGAATATGGGCAGCTTGGGGGAAGAACGAGCACTCAGGTAGGCCAGATGTCTGGGCTTGCTTTGCTCTGCTGGAGAGTGATAAATGTTTTCACTGTGGAAGTGGCAGCAAGAGCAGAAACAAAGAGGTGGTTACAAGGGACATTTTGGAGGATGGAGAATAAGAGTCCACGCCTTCTTGTCCATGGAGGCGAAGAAGAATCATCAAAGGCAAATCCACAGTTTTGGAACCAAGTGACTAGAAGAATATTTTATGAATAGCCATGGGGACATGATCACGGAGGTGAAATGGCTAGATTTTTAGGAAAAGATAGGGAGTTCATCTTTGGAAGAGCATCTATGATACTGTAGCAGGAGGCAGAAATAACCTTCCTGTGAGAGCAGTTGGCCTGTGATGAACGTGTGGGGGTCGCCTGCATAGAGATGAGAGCTTAACTCCAGAGAGAGCAAAGTCCAGGCATTGGCGATGCCCGCATTTTAAAGGAGGAACAGGAAGCAGCCAGCACAGTTTGCAATCAGATGCGGGATGGGGAGTTTACAGATTCTCAGGGCACACAGATAAGAGCATCAAGAAGGAAGTTGTGGTCAGCAGTATCAGATTGGTCAGTTGCCGAGAGGGCAAAGAGAATAGAAGCTGAAAAAAGGCCATTTATTGGGCAATTAGGAAGTTGTTTACCTCTAAGAGGGCACTCCTGTCCAGGGTGTATGTGTGCATGGGTGGAGAGGGATTAAGGAGTGAGCCTTGAAGACAAGGGAGCATCAACCACTGATTACAGGTGAGAAGAAGGGAAGGATCAAAAGGGACGGATTCAGCTGGTACTCCCCTTCCAAGCTGAGAGTGTCCATGTGCACAATGTGAAGGCAGAAGAAAAAGACTGTCGTTGATTCTTTTGGCAAAACTGTATTAAGTACCTGCTAAGAACTTGGATCCAGTTAACACAGAGAAATTGAAAAGCGAAAGAGAACAGACCATGGAGGGAATTCAAAAGGAAATGGGAGAGGCTGAATCCTGAGAATCTTTTAGTGTCAGAACAGGGAGACCCTTCTCCTGAGACCGGAGAGATGGAAGAGAGGATGGAGGGCAGGGATAAATTCAGGGGTGTTTTGAAATGAAGAGAATAGACGTGGAAAGCAAGGCTGCTGGCCTCAGGCTTCTGGACGATGTGGAACGTGGGTTGTTGCTGAGGGAAAAGGTAGATGAGATCAAAGGGAAAATGTTAAATAACCACCCACAGGCAATGCTAGGGGGTCAGAAAGACACACACACTGGGATCACTTAACACCGATGATGCTCAAGAGAAGCCACACTTTCTGTGTGCTTTTATAGGAAATGTTTCTTAACTACACTTTAGAAGATGGGCAGTGTTTATTTCTGCTTTTACCTGTTAAGACTTACCCTTCCTCATCACCTCGTTACTTTTCCTTAATTCATTGTCTATGAATTTTTGTCTGTGTCCAGGGTCTCCATAGTTATAAATTGCACAGCTCTTCCATAGTTATGGTCTTCTAGATTACTGAGGTTCCTTAAATTGTGGGTGAGGTTTTGATATGAAATAATAATACTTTCTAGCTAAATTGATCAATACATGACTTTAGCAGGAAAAGTGAGTAAATAAAGCCCATGAATTAAGCTACCCATTCCCCCTAGCCTCCCCTTCCTCCCCCCCAAAAAAAAAGTTGCTAAAATGATTCAGACTATCTCAGTGAAAACGTCAGACCAACTGCTGGTCGATTCAGCCCTACAGAATGATTTAAGGTGACTAAGACACCAGGGGGTAATTATGGTTCATCCGGAAGCTAGCAGATCACGAGTGGCTCTGTGATTGGACCTGTGTGGGAAGCTTTTTCCTCAAATGAGCAAGCCTGACACTTGCAGGGCCTGTGTATGGCCAGGGAGCACCCAAACCGTGTGAGACAGCTAAGTATGCGAGAGGTAACCGGGCCACCTGAGGCAGCCTTCAGTTTTAACTGGGTTGGCACCCGGTGAGAACTGAGGAAGAGTTTGTTTCTATCGCAGACAATATTTATTAGGAAAAAACCCAACATGATGAACTAAATTCTGGTATTCTAATTCCATCTCTGAGATTTGGCCGTATTCCCACCCTACAAGTCTTCTGGAACTCCTCGGGCCCATAGGCTTAGTGACCAGACTGTGCTTCTGGGTGGAGTAGATCCGATTTTCCAACCTTTTTTTTTTTTTTAATTTATTTCTGTTTTGGCTGCACTGGGTCTTCATCGCTGCATGCGGGCTTTCTGAAGTTGCGACGAGTGGGGGCTCCTCTCTAGTTGCGGTGCTCGGGCTTCTCGTTGCAGTGGCATCTCTGGTTGTGGAGCACAGGCTCTAGGGCGTGCAAGCTTCAGTAGTTGTGATGCATGGGGTTAGTCGCTCCGCAGCATGTGAGATCTTCCCCAACCAGGGATCGAACCGGCGTCCCCCTGCGTCGCAAGGCACATTCTTCACCCCCGGACCACCAGGGAAGCCACTTCACCCTTGCTTTGAAGTGGAAAGACAGTATTCTCTAGGACCATGCTACCGGTCAAAACCCAAGGGGCAGTGTCAACGTTTATTCACGCAACGGCAACTCATATATCTCTTTCTCCCCCCGCAGGTATGGCCTCACATGTGCAAGTTTTCTCCCCTCACACCCTTCAATCAAGTGCCTTCTGTAGCGTGAAGAAACTGAAAGTAGAGCCGAGTTCCAACTGGGACATGACCGGGTACGGCTCCCACAGCAAAGTGTACGGCCCGAGCAAGAACGCGCCACCGTCCCAGCCAGCCGCCGCGACCGTCAGCGCCTCCCTGCCCATCCCCAACCCCAGCCTCCCGTACGAGCAGACCATCATCTTCCCAGGAAGCACCGGGCACATTGTCGTGACCTCAGCCAGCAGCACTTCCGTCTCCGGGCCCGTCCTCGGCGGACCGCACAACCTCATGCGTCGCAGCACTGTGAGCCTTCTTGACACCTACCAAAAATGTGGACTCAAGCGGAAGAGTGAGGAGATCGAGAACACGAGCAGCGTGCAGATCATCGAAGAGCATCCACCCATGATTCAGAACAATGCGAGCGGGGCCACCGTAGCCACTGCCACCACCTCGACTGCCACCTCCAAAAACAGCGGCTCCAACAGCGAGGGGGATTACCAGCTGGTCCAGCATGAGGTGCTGTGCTCCATGACCAACACGTACGAGGTCTTAGAGTTCCTGGGCCGAGGGACGTTTGGGCAAGTGGTCAAGTGCTGGAAACGGGGCACCAACGAGATCGTGGCCATCAAGATCCTGAAGAACCACCCGTCGTACGCCCGCCAAGGCCAGATCGAGGTGAGCATCCTGGCGCGTCTGAGCACAGAGAGCGCCGACGACTACAACTTCGTCCGCGCCTACGAGTGCTTCCAGCACAAGAACCACACGTGCTTGGTGTTCGAGATGCTGGAGCAGAACCTCTATGACTTTCTGAAGCAGAACAAGTTCAGCCCCTTGCCCCTCAAGTACATTCGCCCGGTCCTCCAGCAGGTTGCCACCGCCCTGATGAAACTGAAAAGTCTAGGTCTTATCCATGCCGACCTCAAACCGGAGAACATCATGTTGGTGGATCCATCCAGACAGCCGTACAGGGTGAAGGTCATCGACTTCGGTTCTGCCAGTCACGTGTCCAAGGCTGTGTGCTCCACCTACCTACAGTCTAGATATTACAGGTAAGGCCATGTGCCCTGAGATAAGAGATGCTGAATGCCCAGCGGCACTCAAAAGGCGTTTGCCGTGTTGGTCACTGCCGGGGAGATAAAATTGCTGCTCTCAGTGGTCACGATTTAGTCGGGAAATTAGGACGTGCACTTGGAAATGATGATTAGAAGTCACGTGAAAACAGAGCCAAGTAAGATTCTTGGCATAGATGTTCAGAGTTGGGAGGGATTCCTGGCAGGGTGGGGCTGGGGCTAAGAGCAGAGGCATGGCAGGGGAGTCAGGTCGTCATGGACAGATAGAATCCAAATGCGGATGAAGGAGAGAGAGGGACACACATTATGAAGTCGCTCCAGCAAAATGCAGAAAAAGACTCACAGTGGACCAGGAGGACCACCCACCTGGCCAGAACAGAGGATCCATGGAGGGGTGGAAGACCTGATCACAACGATAGGTTGGGACCAGGATGCTGGGGTCTGAGCTGCCAGACTACGGGGTTGCAGTTGCGTCTGTAAACATGAAGCAAGCACTGAAGCATTTGCGTAGCAGAGGGTAATGGGTGAAAGTGATGCTCTGAGAAGGTGGCTCTATGTCTCTGTATAAGGAGGAGGCCGGGGGAGGGTCTGTAGCCTGGGGACCAGTGGTGATGGGAGAATTACAGGTTTGGGGTCAGGAGGAGGATTGTAGCATCCTTGGTGGGAAAATGTGAAACTTCCATTCCTTCACTCAACAAGGATTTATTTCACGTCTTTCATGAGCCAGGCACAGTGCTGGGGACAGGAACACAGCCAGCACAGCAGGCGCAAGGCCCTCACCATCCTGGAGTCTGTAGTATCTATACAGCTTCCCACCCTTGGCTCTGTGTCAAAGTCACCAGCGGGTGGACGGAGATTTAAAAAAAAAAAAAAACACACCTGATTTAGGTCCCAGTCCCCACAAGCTGAACGGACGTCTCTGGGGGAGGTGTCCTGCACGGGTGATTGCGGGTGACTGCCACGGCTCTTCTGGGGCTCCCAGCACACAGCCAAGGTTGAGAGGCACCGCTCAGGAGGGACCCAGATGAGAGCACTGGCTCGGGTCAGGGCAGCCTCATTGCTCTACTCACTAAAGTGTGTGGCTAGGCTGTTTGCCTTGTTCTCTTCCTCCTTCGTTCCTGACCCAGAAACTGGGTGGGTCCAGGCACCAGCTGTGTGAGGCTGTTGGATGATGGAGCTGGGACATGGCTTGGGTGCTCGGCTCTGAGTCCGGCACGTGGTGGACGCCCAGGGCTTGGATAGGAACGGGAGCAAGTGAATCTGTTCTGGGAGATGGCAGTGGGCTGCGCTCGAGGGAATGTTTGAATGGTCCGAGACTCTTGAAGGTTGGCAAGAAATGAAACTAAAACCCCCACGAGAAGCTGGGGGCCGACAACACATTTAGGAGGTTGACATGTGGGAGGTAAAACCTGAATCCCTCGACTTCATCCTGCCTAGGCCCCGTGGGCCCGGCCCTCGAGGGTGCACACACTTTCCGCTCACCCGTCCGTCCCGGCCACGGAGGAGGGGAGTGTGTCTGAGCCACGTGGGCACAGCCAGCCCATCAGCCCATTCTGAGGCCGTCCTGGCGCCTCCCGGCCTTGTCTGCCCATCTGCCCACCCCTCCCCCTGGCCAGATCTGCACAGGTGCCCTCACCCCAGGGTCTCCTGTCCCAGCCCGGCCCTCACCCTTGGGTCTCCATCCATGGCCTCGTGCCCCCTCCCCTGGATGGTCTGTGGCCACGAGACAGGTATCCCCATGGTCCCCCACCTCCCTCATCTCAGTCCTGACTCAAACAGGTTTGCAGGCCATTCCACCTGTTCCGTCCACCACCATCCCCCCATCCCTTCTTGAGCATCCAGGGAGGAGCCTCACCTCCGTGTCCCCTAGGTTTCTGGAGGGGTGAATCTGTATTGCTCACCCGGTTCCTCTCCACTCACCTGCTTCTTAAACCTCTGTGGTCAGCTGTCGGACCCTCCGCCCCCAAGCAGAGAGGGAGGCTGTAAGGCTGGTGCCGTGGCTGCCGCAGAAGGGGGCCTGGGCCTCCACCCCAGGGGAGGGTGTGAAGGAGGTGGTTGGGCAGGGCTGGGATGGCAGGCGTTCTCTTGAAGTGCCCTTCTCGCAACGTGCAGTCTGGGTGGCATCACATAGGCTCATCCGCCCGTCCAAGGGATTTTCAGCTCTCTGGCCAGCTCCCCGCTGCTGTTGTCCCCCTACACTTGGGGATGCTGGACCAGTATGTCAGAGGCCACTTCTTCCTGGGTCTTGGCCTGAATTTAGGGTGAACTGCAGCAGAGTCAGGATGCTCAGGCTTTTATTATTTTGTTAAGTTGATGCTATTTAGTAAAGAATACTGGCTTTATTCATGTTTACTAAAAATCAAACCCAGCAACTTGTAAAAAGGCTTTTAAAAGCTCTGTTTAAAAGGCAGTGCATACTTAAAACAGGCATCCCTGGTTGCTCAGCTGGTAAAGAATCCGCTTGCAATGCAGGAGACTCTGGTTCGATTCCTGAGTCAGGAAGATTCCCCTGGAGAAGGGAAAGGCTACCCACTCTAGTATTCTTGGGCTTCCCTGGTGTCTCAGATGGTAAAGAATCCACCTGCAATGCAGGAGACCTGGGTTCAATCCCTGGGTTGGGAAGACCAGCTCAGTTGGTAAAGAATCTGCCTGCAATGCAGGAGACCTGGGTTCGATTCCTGGATTGGGAAGATGCCCTGGAAAAAGAAATGGCAACCCACTCCAGTATTCTTGCCTGGAGAATCCCATGGACAGAGGAGACTGGCAGGCTACAATCCATGATGTCAAAAGAGTCTGACACAACTTAGCAACTAAACCACCACCAGCTGGAGGAGGGCATGGCAACTCACTTCTGTATCCTTGCCTGGAGAATCCCATGGACAGAGGAGCCTGGCGGGGCACAATCCATGGAGTCACAAAGAGTCGGACATGACTGAAGCGACTTAGTATGCATGCGTAGTTGCTTTAGGGATCCCACTTTCAAAGGGGAGAAGGTCTACATTTCCTGCCCTGTTTTTGAATGGACAGTACTAAATGTCTCATCCCACCCTCTTCCCCACCTAGCGACGTGGAAACCTTATGATGTAGAGATCTTCCTGTCCTCCTGGAGGGAGAGGAGGTACCTAGAAAAGTAGGTGGGTCTTGGGAAGCAAATAGTTTTCCCCAGCTATTAGGCATGTGCTTGGTCAAGGTCCAACACGTTGCTGTAGGTATTCTGTGGGGCAAGCCTGACAGTGTGTTTCTTAGGAAAGAAAGGCTGCTTGTTTTCATTGTTTGATGCATGGGTAACCCCTTCCAACCTGACCTTCCAAGTTGAAGGTCAGTTACTTTGTTAAACCAACCGACCATACTGGCCCTCAGGCTTTATTGTGCATAAGATCACCTGGAGAGTTTGTTAAGAACCCACTTATGCCACAGTCCTGCCCCAGACCCACTGCACCCCAGTTCTCCAGAGGGGGACCCCCAGAGACGTCTTCTCGTTGCACATGTCCCAGGACTCACCACGGGGAATCAAAGGTGAGCTTGTACAGGTGGTCAGAGGCCCACTCAGGGAGAAAGGAATTTCCTTAGTGGAGTCCCCTTTCAAGTGCTCACTCCCCAAGGAGTGGATGTGGAGGCAGTCCCGGGCAGGTCTGTGAACACACCTGGGAAGCCCCTGCTGTTTCCATGTCTTATCTTCTGGGTTGTGTTCCAAGACTCCCAGTGGGTGCTTGAAACTGAGGATAGTTCCAAACCTATGTATTCCAATCCCCAGTGCTTAGTCCTCAGTCATGTCCAACTCTTTGCAACCCCATGGACTGTAGCCAACCAGACTCCTCTGTCCATGGGGTTTTTCAGGCAAGAATACTGGAGTGGATTGCCATTTACTTCTCCAGGGGATCTTTCCGACCCAGACGCTTCCCTGGTGGCTCAGTGGTAAAGAACCCACCTGCCAGTGCAGGAGATGCAGGAGAATTGCAGGAGAGTTGGGGTTGACCCCTGGGTTGGGAAAATGGACAGAGGAGCTCCTCCCTGGACAGAGGAGTCTGTCGGACTACATACAGTCCATGGGGTTGCTCAGACTTAGATATGACTTAGTGACTAAACAACAACATTCTTAACATAGATCTTAGCAACCTCAGCATACCTTTTTTCCTTCCTTATTAAATGGAGAACTTTCACCTTTCCACTTAAAAGAAGCTCTTTATGGCTTCTCTTCGGTATCTCTGAATTGCCAGCGTATTACTCCTTTTGTGGTTTTGACTGTTACTAAGTAAAATAAGGGCTACCCGAACACACGCACTGCCATACCACAGTCAGTCCAACCGTCAGATTGGCCACCCGGAGACGTTACTGGGGGCTCATGGGCAGAACATGCCGAGCGAAGGGAAGGTTCCCGTCCTGGCTGGGATAGAGTGGAACTTGGTGAGCTATTATCACGCTCCTCAGACTAGCAGGCAATTTAAAACTTAAGAATTGTTCGTTTCTGGAATTTTTCCCTTAATGTTTTTGGATTGAGGTTGACTATGATTAAGGGGGAGGGACTACTGCATTTGATTCTGTATTGATGCCAGTTATTTTTCTTTTTTTTGGAGCAAGCAGTAAATCGATGCTTGGATATTTCCACTGTCAGTGTGACCGGCAGACTGCAAACAAGACTAAATATTAAACTCTACCCAGGAAAAACAAAAAGACATGCCATTCAGGCAGGAGATAGTGATTAAAATGTGTGAATGTTTTGTTTGTTTCTGCTCCAAGCTGTTCAAAATACTCTTGTCTAGATTTCATTTGAAATACTTAACACTATTACCAGGACCAAACACATAAAAAACAGCCAGTAATCTTTTCCTTTAGAATAATCCAGCCTTTTTTGCCTGGTTCTAAAGGTTTCAGACACTATCTTCAAATTGGGGGCAGAGATATATTTTAATTCGGTTCAGTTCATCACATGTGCATTGGGTGCCTACTGTCTGTCCTGTAGTGGATGCACTGAAGGGTAG